TCAAATCAGCTCCCTCAAGCCGCGTCAACAAGTCGAAGAATTTCTGCACCCCTTCTTCAACCGCTTCGTCTTCTTCAATTCGTAGTGCCGCCATTTGCCGTTCCAACACCACCGCTACTGCCGCTGTTGCAGGAGCATGTACACCCTTGAGAGCAGCCCATGCCTTTGGTCCTTTCTCTGGTTCACGCTGGAATGGCTTGATGTGACGGATCTGACTGCTCCCCAACGCTTGCCCAAGTAAGAGATAGCCTTGTGCGCTCTTCCGCACCCACGGGCTCTTCTCCGGGTCGTTCTCGGGGCGCTTCTCCGTTCCTTCCATCACCTCCAGCAGGTCATAGTGGTCAAAGATGTTCTCCATCTTGAAGCACCATTCAGCAAAGTTGTCACCGTTGAACTTGTCAAGCCCAAACACCCTAGGCTCATCCCTAGGTGGGCCAAGACTTGGTTGCATGGGCGCCATGGCTGAATCACGGGGTTGGCCTTGAGCTTGAGCTTCTCCACTGCCACCAGCACCTCTGCCACCCCTTTCCTCAGGTCCAGACATTGTCGAAACTGCTCCAAGGGGCTCTGATACCACTTGTTATAGTCGCAATAGGCTTGAATGTGCCTAAAACGAAAGATAGAGAGCACAGACGGATTTCTGCACAGCGGCTTCAAACGTTGATAGCGTTCTGCTCACAGCTGCAAATGACCTGATTCAAATTGGATCTGGAGCGTCTTCACGTCGTCTACAATTAGAAATTTAGATTGCACGATTTGATAAAGAATTGACGACACAGCGTCGGTTTGAACGAACGGTACTATGGCAGCCACTATAGTCTTAGAACACAAGATAGGAAGAGTTACGAGTTGGGAATGACTCCCAGCTCCTACAAACCCCAAGAGCCGAGGTACAGTGATGTGGAACAGTGCCACACTGTCCCCAACCACGAAGGGTCTCGAAACTACCCTTCACTAGGGCCTACACCAAGTGAAATGTTACACTACACAAAGTAATGTAACTATCTTCAATATCTTGAGGTGTACCCTTTTGGCGAGCTTCGAAATCACTTGAGGCTTGACACCAAGGCTCGGGCTCTTCATCACAAACTCATCCTTGAGTTCTTGATGGGTCTACTGCACACACCTGCGACACGCCGAACGTTCGACACAGGACAAAATAGAAACCGCGCACGACAAAATAGAAACCGCGCGCGAGACACAAACGACCGCGTAACACGCGTCTAGCGATAACTCGCTATTGACTCGACACACACACTCGACATCATGACTCAACATTCACACACAATTATAAGCATGAAATATACATTATCCCATGCCCTCATACCATTCCATACACACACACATTCACGCACACGGACAACAAGCCGAGTGCAAACCGTAGGGTTGCACCAACATGATCTACTGTTCCGGGAGGTGAGCACAAAGTCAGGTTTTCTTCAAATCACGCTGGTGGCAATCACATTTCATCGAATCTGGCTGGAGAGGTGCGGAGAAATTTTCCGGAAGGGGGGTTTCCAAACCAAACGAGTGGCGAGGCTGATCGGTACAGATTTCACGAAACATGTCAAGATTTACAGTGGAAAGGGGCACATGCAAAGGAAGGCAGGGGAACGGACAAAAATGGACACTTGGGGACACATGGAGAGAGACGAGGTGAGGGTGATGAGGAGGATCTACAGTGATGGAGAGAAGCTGAGCTGGAGCCCGGATTTCAGAGCATTATGGGAAGATCCGAGGTCCTGTTACAAGCCACTGTAGAAGGAGGCGGGAGGGTAGCAGTGCCTCTGCCTGTGCTATTCCCTTCCCCAGAATCAGTTTCGACTGACGGATGTATGCATGCTAATTGCTATGCAGAAGCGTTAAAACTTGAAACCACTAAGTCAAACCTTGCACTACCTACTCCTCTTGAGACCCTCCGTGTGTGACATGGTCACCTCCCAGCCAAGGGCTCAAAAGCACGAGGAAGTAAGGTAAGCTCGGCTTAGCTCGTAGTGCGACAGAAGACTGGTCGAGCAGCGTTTCGACACCACTGTGTATCGTTTCTACTCTCGTCAATACGTAGTAATAAAAATCCAAAAGTGAAAGTGAGAATGCATTGTTATCTCCCAAGAAAATACAAGCACACATTTATATGAAGTCCTAAGCACACATAAGGAAAACACCGAACAGTTATTTAACTGGAGTTCAGGACTTCGCCAGATGTGCAAAGGAAAACAGTTGTCGATCTGCTGCGGAATTTGGCTTGGTTCGCCTCTGTAAAGTAACTTTCTTCAAACTTCATATCTGTCAAATGCCCCTACTGACTTCGCATACGAATACTCATGAATTCGCATGTCGATTGATGAACGCTCGTGTGGAATTGCCGTTTTCACGAAGCCTTATTGTTGCAAAACGATTTTCACCGTTTTTTTCCCTGTATCGGAATTGTCACATTATGCGCGCGACCTTTCTGGCGAAATTACTTGTTCATCGAGTCAACGAGGGAAACGGTTTTTCAACCGTAATCCCGAGCACCCCTTGACCACAACAGATTCGTTGCTTTTCTATAACTATTGCACCGAATTGGGTTGCGTGCACCGAATTCTGATTCATTTCGGTTATTCTCGCGTGACTTTTCGTGCGCGTGATTCTGTCGAATTGATTCTACCGAATCCGGGAAGGTCCTATTCCCGATGCTTCGTGAACCTAGGAACCTTCTCGTAACACCTTGTTACTTTGCATTGTTTCGTGCCTATATATAGCCTATATATATTACAACAACAACAACAACAACAACAACAACAACAACAACAACAACAACAACAACAACAACAACAACAACAACAACAACAACAACAACAACAACAACAACAACAACAACAACAACAACAACAACAACAACAACAGCATACAGGGGGTATGATGGTGGGCCTCTTCCCAAGACCTTGAGTACCGAATTCGAAAAATTGTTGTGGAAATAATCAGAAACTAAGGGGTATTTCTCAGCTCCACAAAAACTACGGTAAGACCATCCCTTGGACAAGAGAGGGTTGCTTGCTTGGGTGAGCATCACTAATCATTCTCAGCTACATACCAAGTAAGCACCGTGAAGTTTCCATGTGAGAAGCAGCTTCAAACTAACGAGTCTGTCCTTGGTGGTTCATGTCAGCCAGACCCAAACACCAGCAACGAGGATGCAAAAAAACGCCACGCTTTCAAAAGGTTGTCACACTTGCTGAGATCCACCCCTTTAGCACAATGTCATCAATTGTAACTTTTACATACCGCTTGAAGGTTTCGTGAACAACCTACCATTGACGAACGACTTGATGGTCCCGACGGGCTGGAACGCGGAAGTGAGCGTGAGCCTTTCTTGAAGGGTGCAGTTCCAGTTGCCGCTTGTTGCTTCTGCATGGCATGTGCAGGGCAACTCGTCCAGGAGGGCGCCAGTGCTGCGGTAGTAGCTGGAAGGATGGGGTCGATAACGGGTACGCCTGCAATGTGGAAGACAAAGGAGGAAGTTTGGAGAGTGGTCGTGGTGCAAGGGGAGAGGGATGTGGGGGGTTGGAGAGACAGTGCAGGAGCACGACAGAGAATGCAGTCCTGCTGATGGCCTTGTATTCAATGTGACGTAGGCAAAGGCAACTTCGTTGCTCATTGTTCTCTGACCAATATGTCTTCCTTCTCATTTAGCCGCATGTTACTCTGGCGGGCTGCAGTGTCAAATATATACTTATATAACTTCATATAGCTGCCTACAACATAGAATTGTGTAGCAATTGTTACTCTTGTTGGTGGTGCACCTTGCCTACCCTTCTCTTGCTTGTATTTCTTCTCCTGCTTTATAATCCAAACCCCTCTTTTTCATTTCAACTCCACTCCTCTAAACTTAAGCCTTCCTCTTAGCTGATTTGACATGCAGCGCATCATTGAGAAATTTCGAAGGGTTCAATTCGGTGAAGCCCGCATATCACGCTGCTAGGGAAAGGAGTGCAACACTTGTTAGAAGCCCGTGGTCCAAATTGATTACTTGCTGAACCTCGTTGAACCGTTCTACAGCCTAACTAAAACGTTCTGAACTGTGCAGAATCGTACTAAACAATAATCATTACAGCCTTAACCGTGAGTGGATACATTCTGTTCTATCAGGTGGGGGGCTTGTCGGGAGGGGGGTATATCGAGAAGTTTGTTCCATGCGCCGCTTCCTGCGCAAACCTATATGGAAAGAACTTGTTCATAGTGCAATATTTTTTTGTTTGGTATAACACGTCCAGTAAAACCAAGCAGGTATCTTCTTACACCATATTCAAGTGAACACTTTGTTCGAAAGCAAAACAACACTTTTTGGTCCAGAAAGCACAGGTGTGTGATGTGTGTAACCCAGTTTGGAATGTCCAGGCCAATACAAAGATCACAATATGCCATCTTTCTACTGTTCGAACCCATTACTACAATCTCATATAAACAACCTGTAAAATACAATTTCCCAGTCCCTTCAGTAAATTACCATATACTTTGCTGAACCACACATCAGTACCCTGCTCCACACTCTCGAAATAGAGAAGGGCGTAATTAATTCTCCATATACGGCGATAGGCCCTTGGATGCGAGAGAAAGCAGTTGTTTGAGAGAGCTGAACCTGAGTTTGCAAGTGTACCATGTATCGGACTACACCTGGCCGGCAGCACCAGGCTGGTAACCAGCATAAGCACCCTGAGGCGGCTTGTACTGGTTATCCCCTGCGTATGCTGCTGCAGCTTGAGTCGTATATTCCACCTCCACCTCTGCAGAGAGGGAAGCACACACGAGGGTACAAGGACAAGGGAGGTGTGAAGGAATGCAAGGGGGGATAACGGAGAGGATTAACGGAGGGGAATTTCAGGATCCAGACCCTCCATCGATGAGTGCAAGCAGCAGAAACTACACAGCGCGAAGAGAAGAAGCATTGCTTTGCATTCATAGACTCTCGTGCCCACTCTGCACAAGTTGCCACACTGAATGACGATAAAGGTCCCGACAAGTGAGAGACGTCTCACAAACGGAGAGGAGAAGCACCTGCTCATGCAGGATGATGAAGACAACGGCAAGTCCTGAGACATCCCGAACACGGAGAGGAAAAGCATCTGCTCACGCAGGTGCCTTTCAGGGGCTTACCTTTGGACCTGTTGCCACACTGAATGATGATGAAGACAGCAGCAACGACGCCAACGACCAGCAGCAGCACGCCCACCACGATGCCCACGATGGCTCCTGTGGACAGCCCCGAGCTGGAGGAGGAAGCATTGGCGCTGGCGTTGGCATTGTTGTTGTTGGTGTTGGTGTTGGTGATGGTGGTGGTGGTGGTGCTGCCGTCAGGGTTGGTTGGAGGAGGCTCAACAGGAGGAGGGGGGGGGAGGAGGAGGGGAAGGGGAAGACTCGGAGGGTGATGCAGGGATGGGAGGAGCGATCGGAGGCTCGGATGGGGATGCTTGGGATGGGGTTGCCTCGGATGGGAGTGCCTCGGATGGTTGGGCAATGGATGGTGGGGCATCGGACGCTGGGGCTGCACACAAAACAAGAGTATCAGAAGCAAAAAGTATGTTTTGCGCAGACTTGGAGTATGGATTACAAGCAGAAGGGAATCAAATTCAGGTCTTGCCACAAGGGATGCAACAGGTTCGGCCCTGGCAACCAGTGTTACCCACCAGGCAGGAGGGAAGCAACAGATTGTACCCACCAGGCAGGAGGGAAGCAACAGATTGTACCCACCAGGCAGGAGGGAAGCAACAGATTGTACCCACCAGGCAGGAGGGAAGCAACAGATTGTACCCACCAGGCAGGAGGGAAGCAACAGATTGTACCCACCAGGCAGGAGGGAAGCAACAGATTGTACCCACCAGGCAGGAGGGAAGCAACAGATTGTACCCACCAGGCAGGAGGGAAGCAACAGATTGTACCCACCAGGCAGGAGGGAAGCAACAGATTGTACCCACCAGGCAGGAGGGAAGCAACAGATTGTACCCACCAGGCAGGAGGGGAGCAACAGATTGTAACCACCAGGCAGGAGGGAAGCAACAGATTGTACCCACCAGGCAGGAGGGAAGCAACAGATTGTACCCACCAGGCAGGAGGGAAGCAACAGATTGTACCCACCAGGCAGGAGGGAAGCAACAGATTGTACCCACCAGGCAGGAGGGAAGCAACAGATTGTACCCACCAGGCAGGAGGGAAGCAACAGATTGTACCCACCAGGCAGGAGGGGAGCAACAGATTGTAACCACCAGGCAGGAGGGAAGCAACAGATTGTACCCACCAGGCAGGAGGGAAGCAACAGATTGTACCCACCAGGCAGGAGGGGAGCAACAGATTGTAACCACCAGGCTGGAGGGAAGCAACAGATTGTACCCACCAGGCAGGAGGGAAGCAACAGATTGTACCCACCAGGCAGGAGGGAAGCAACAGATTGTACCCACCATGCAGGAGGGAAGCAACAGATTGTACCCACCAGGCAGGAGGGAAGCAACAGATTGTACCCACCAGGCAGGAGGGAAGCAACAGATTGTACCCACCAGGCAGGAGGGATGCAACAGATTGTACCCACCAGGGGCAGGAGGGATGCAGGAGTTGCAGAAGGCAGCACAGGCGGTGCAGAACTCGCTGCCGTCTCTCTGCTCCACCACACACGAGGTGTTGCTGGCAGGGCAGGCCACAGTAGAGTCGTAGTTGCTGCAGGGAAGGGGTGGTGGGAGGAGGAGGGCGGTGAGGGGCGGAGGGCGGTGAGGGAGGGAGGGCGGTGAGTGGGGCAGGGCAGTGAGTAGGGCAGGGCAGTGAGAGGGGCAGGGCGGTGAGTAGGGCAGGGCAGTGAGAGGGGCAGGGCGGTGAGTAGGGCAGGGCAGTGAGAGGGGCAGGGCGGTGAGTAGGGCAGGGCAGTGAGGGGGGCAGGGAGGTGAGGGGGGGAGGGCGGTGTGGGGGGGAGGGCTGTGAGGGGGGGAGGGCGGTGAGGGGGGCAGCGTGGTGAGGGGGGCAGGGCGGTGAGGAACAGTAGGAGAAAACTGGTGTGCGATGGAAAGCGATAGGGGTATGGAAGGCGATAGGGGGATGGAAAGCGATAGCGGGATGGAAAGCGATAGGGGTATGGAAGGCGATAGGGGGATGGAAAGCGATAGCGGGATGGAAAGCGATAGGGGGATGAAGTGAGGAAGGTGAGACGAAGCGAGGAAGAAAACAGGCAGCAGCACCACACAGTCGCTCCATAATCCGTTGATATCTTACACAGATGCCAAGCAGTGCCATGGCACACAGCGTGGAAGCAGCGCCATCGCATTGCAGACGTTCGTATTGATGCCCTAGTCTGCAATAGCGACAATCTACTGCCATTTCCTCTTCAGTTGCTCTTCTGTTCTCTGCTACGTCATCTTACGTTCATATACAAGGTGTGAGCTGCTGTGACTCATCATCTCACAGGGTGAAGAGCTGTGGTGCGCCCAGAGTGGATGCTTTGAGGCGCCACACAAGTCACCTGAAAAAGTGACTTAAAACTGGCCTAAATGTCTGTTGTCTCACTCGTCATCTTACAGGGTGAAGAGCTGTGGTGCGCCCAGAGTGGCTGGAAGCGTGCCAGTCAGCTTGTTGCCATCGAGCCTCCTGTGTGGGTGGGGGCGAGTTCAGAAGTGAACATTATGTCCCGAGAGGAGATGAGGGCATGAAAGGCGGTGATGTGCGGTGGAGTGAGGAGATACGGTGCGCTCAGAGTGCCTGGAAGCGTGCTAGTCAGCTTGTTGCCCGCTAGCCTCCTGTGTGGGTGGGCAGAGAAGGAAACTTGCACTTGAGATTCAGGAGTGTGTTCAGTGGTGAATTTTGAGTCGACTCAAAAGCCTTCTGTGTGGGTGGGCAGAGAAAGTATACTTGCACTCACTGTGTGTGTGTGGGCAAGAAGTATACTTGCACTCACTGTGTGTGTGTGGGCAAGAAGTATACTTGCACTTGAAATTCAGGAGTGTGTTCAGTGGTGAGGACATGTAAGGCAATGATGTGTGGTGAGGTGAGGACATGAGGGCAATAGAAGCGGAGAGGTATGGCAGGAAAATTGAAGTATGGGCAGCACTCACAGCAGGCAGCAGCACTCACAGCAGGCAGCAGCACTCACAGCAGGCAGAAGCACTCACAGCAGGCAGCAGCACTCACAGCAGGCAGCAGCACTCACAGCAGGCAGCAGCACTCACAGCAGGCAGCAGCACGCACAGCAGGCAGCAGCACTCACAGCAGGCAGAAGCACTCACAGCAGGCAGCAGCACTCACAGCAGGCAGAAGCACTCACAGCAGGCAGCAGCACTCACAGCAGGCAGCAGCACGCACAGCAGGCAGCAGCACGCACAGCAGGCAGCAGCACTCACAGGGTCTGAAGATCAGTTAGCAAGCCGAGGCCGGATGGAATGGAGCCACCCACACCTGTGTAGTCGAGGCTCCTGGTGGGGTAAGGCAGGGTAGGGAGGTGGGGAAGGCAGGGGGTGAGAATGGGGAAGGTAGCACGCAGCATCATCCTTAGGGTCTGAAGGTCAGGATTTGGGCCAAGGCCGGATGGAATTGAGGCAAGGCCGGATGGAAATGAGCAGCCCACACCTGTGTAGTGGAGGCTCCTGGGGCAAGAAAGGTAGGGGCAGAGGATGGGCAGAGGATGGGCAGAGGATGGGCAGAGGATGGGCAGAGGATGGGCAGAGGATGGGCAGAGGATGGGCAGAGGGTGGGCAGAGGATGGGCAGAGGATGGGCAGAGGGTGGGCAGAGGATGGGCAGAGGATGGGCAGAGGGTGGGCATAGGATGGGCAGAGGGTGGGCAGACTCAGCATTAAAAGGGGGGGGCAATGTGCATGGTGGGGGGGGAGAATCGGCATGCAAGGGGGGGGGGGGGGGTGCATGGTTGGGGGAAGAGGATGGGCATGGCTGGGAAGTGGTTGGAGATGGAATTTGAATTCCATGAAGCCCGAGCTCCTTACTTTTTGTTCAAGTGGATGGAGAACAGGCAAGATGACGATAGAAAAATGATTCGAATGAGGCGACGTGCGGTGAGGTGCGGTGAGGTGAGGCGAGGTGAGGTGCGGTGAGGTGAGGTGCGGTGAGGTGAGGTGCGGTGAGACACGGTGAGGTGAAGTGCTGGTTCAACGTGAAGGCTTACAGCTCAACGAGGTTTGTAAGGGCGGTGATGGTGCTGGGAATGGTGCTGCCTGTGAAGTTGTTGCCCGTGAGAGTGCTGCAGGGGGAACAGGGTCGAGGGATTTTGGAGGCGTCTCAGGAATGGTGCTGCCTGTGAAGTTGTTGCCTGTGAGCTTGCTGCAGGGGTCAGAGGGAAGAGCGTTCACAACTGAATGGTGGTGGAGGGATGAATGGTTCTGATATGTCTCGGGAATGGTGCTGCCTGTGGAGTTGCTGGCTGTGAAGTTGTTACGCTTGAAAAGAAGAAGAGAAGAAGAGCCTGTGGAGTTACCTGGCATGCACGTCTTCTTATTCGCTTGTTACAGTTGATAACGAAATTAGTCATACGTCCTTCATTATTCGTTAGGAGTGCTCTCCCCCCACTCACACCCCACCCTCCCCTCACATGCCTCCTCCCCCACTCATACCCCACCCTCCCCTCACACGCCTCCCCCACCTCTCACACCCAACCCTCCCCTCACAACCCTCCAACACGCGTGCCTCCTCCCCTGACTCACACGTACGCCAGGTTGGGAATGGTGCCAATGCTGTCAGTGAGCGGCCCAATTCTGTTGTCTGTTCTTGATGCGCCTCAATAATAGCCCCCTCTCACACGCGCACCTCATTCCCTTCTTACACACGCGCACCCTCCTCCCCTGATTCACAGGTACTCCAGCTTGGGAATGGTGCCAATGCTGCTGTTGCTGTTGTTCTTGTTGCTTTCCTTACAAGCACTTATCCCCCTCACACCTCGTCCCCTGACTCACAGGTACTCCAGGTTGGGAATGGTGCCAATGCTGTCGGTGAGCGGTCCAATGTTGTTGTTGGTGAGGTCGCTGGGACGTGTGGGAGGGAGAGGTGAGGGAGGAAGGGAGAGGCGTTGGAGGGACAGGCATGGGAAGGCCAATAATGTCAGTGAGTGGACCAATGCTGTTGTTGGTGAGGTCGCTGTGAGACGTGGGAGGGAGAGAGGTATGGGAGGAAGAGAAAGGAGCGGGGCACGGGATGCACGTGTGAGGGCATGGGGTACAATTCATACCTATGGCAGTTCTAGATGTGCCAACAACGAACATGGGTTGCGCTTACAGAAAAATAGGTTGTGTAAAATAAAAAAAATGGAAAAAAACAAACAAACAAACAAACAAACAAACAAACAACCACAAGAATAGGTGAGTGTGCTTACAGCGAGGTGAGGTTCTTAAGGTTTGAGAATGTTTCGGGGATGGGCCCTGTGAGGGCGTCACCTGTGGTGTCGTAGTCACTCACGCTGATGCTCCTGTGGACACGCAAAGGGGGGACATGTAATAAAGAGGGAGAGTGAAGCCATTGCCAAGCGCTGGTGATGGAATTTCCGGCAAGAGAGAGGACTGGGATGGAAGAAACTGTAAGGCCATGCTAGTGTTTATAATCACAAGGGGGGAAGATGCAGAGAGAGAGGGAGAGCGATGACATTGCCAAGCGCTGGTGATGGAATTTCCGGCAAGAGAGAGGAGGAATGGGATGGAAGAAACTGTAAGGGGCCTGCCTAGTGTCATCTCATCACCACTTTCCGGAGTGCACAGTGCCTCTATTTTGAGAAAGCGGTGCTTGCAGAGAGTGACTGTATTGAGAAAGCGGTGCTCACAGTGATTGCAGGCTGGCCATGTTGCCAAAGGAGGCCGGGATGCTGCCCGATGCCACCTGCATGATTGTTCTGCGCGGGCGGAAGGGAGGGGAAGGAGAGTAGTGAGTTGACTCAACACACACTGCCATGCTGCCCAATGCCACTTGCGTGATGGTTCTGCATGGGCGGAAGGAAGGGGAGAGGGTGATTAAGAGAGAGAGGGGGGAGGTGGGCATGGTGGGGCCATTGCCAATCACCCTGGTTAACCCTGGTTAAGCACCCTGGTTAACCACCCTGGTTAACCACCCTGGTTAATCACCCTGGTTAATCACCCTGGTTAACCACCCTGGTTAATCACCCTGGTTAATCACCCTGGTTAACCACCCTGCTCGATTAGAAGGAGCGGTGTGACAATGATAGAGTGGGGTGATCATGATACAGGGGGTGGCACAACAATAGTAGAGTTGTGTGGGGTAGGGAGATAGTCAAACCATGGTTGCGCGGTGGGCACAGGGCAGCGCAGTGTGTGGTGGGCAGCGCAGTGTGATGTGCGGTGCGGTGTGGTGCGATGGAGAGGGGCTCACAGCTTTTGCAGGTTGGTCATGTTGCCCATGCTGGCGGGCAGGGTGCCTCTAACGGGGATGAACCCCAGGTCTCTGCCATTCACACACGCACATCAACAAACACACGCGCATGCGTGCACACATACACACACATGCGTGCACGCACACATGCACGCACGCGCACGCACGCACACACACACACACACACACACACACACACACACACACACACTCGTGCATGCACGCACGCGCACCCACGCACACATACAGGGGGGAATGAGCCTCGTACCTCGCACAACGAGCTGTATTGCAAGCAGGAAGAACTGAATTGCCTCGCGAGACACGCTTTTCCAATCTCATCACCTCATCGCTCACAGCAAAGAGAGTGGGTAACAGCAGAGGGAGTGGGTGACAGCAGGGAGAGAGGGTGACAGCAGGGAGAGAGGGTGACAGCAGAGTGGCTTACAGGGAGGTGAGTCGTGTGAGGTTGGTGATGACATCTGGAATGGTGCTGAAGCCCTGTTGGGTGATCAGGGACGTTGGGCTGGTGTGGCGCAGAGGGGTGTCGGAAGGAGAGGGCCGGAAGGAGAGGCGGGATGAGCGGGCGGAGGGAGAGGGCGGAGGGAGAGGGCGGAGGGAGAAGGCGGAGGGAGAGGGCGGAGGGAGAGGGCGGAGGGAGAGGGCGGAGGGAGAGGGCGGAGGGAGAGGGCGGAGGGAGAAGGCGGAGGGAGAGGGCGGAGGGAGAAGGCGGAGGGAGAAGGCCGAGGGAGAAGGAGGAGAGGGAGGATGGATAGATAAATGAAGGATCTGGCTTCGCAAGGGACCCATGATAACCGGCAGCAGCACCAGCACCCATCATCATCACATCACCATCACCAGCAGCAACACCCATCATCATCACATCACCGTCACCAGCAGCACCGGCAGCACCACCAGCAGCAACCCCCATCATCGTCACGTCACCACCACAAGCACCAGCACCAGCAGCAGGAGCAACACTAGCAGCAGGCAACACCAGCAGCAGCAGCAGCAGGAGGAAGAGCAGCAGCAGCAGCACAGCATCACCACCTCATTGCTAGTACCAGCACCACCAGCAGCATCACCACCACAAGCAGCAGCAGCAGCAGCAGCACTTGCACCCATGGGCATTGGCGCGTACGTGATGGAGACGATGAAGCCCTCCGTGTCGCACTCGCGCACCACCTGGGTGTTATACGTGTCCGCGCAGTCCCCGCCGTTGACAATGTCGATTTCCCACACCTTGGACAGCTCCTTGAGAGGCGGGACTGAAGCGAGAGGAAAGAGGAGGTAGAGGGGAGGGCGGGGGCGGGAACGAGATTTATGAGGCGCCCCTAGGATCGACCTGGGTGTTATACGTGTCCGCACAGTCCCCGCCGTTGACAATGTCGATTTCCCACACCTTGGACAGCTCCTGGAGGGAGGGGGAAGGGCGCCTCATAATCGATATTCGAAGGCCGCGCAGCCGCCGCCGTTGATGATATTCTGTCACCCTCTCGCCGCCTCAAAATCTCCCTTAGACATCTCCTTGAGAGGCGGGACTGGAATAAAGGGGGTGAAGGGGTGGAAGTGGGGGAGGATGGAGGAGGTGGATCATCTAAAGTCAACCATACTATAGTATGAAAAGCAGAAAAGGGGGAGGAGATGACTCCTCGGAGGAGACGGATGAATTCGGATGGTGAGGAGAGGGGAGCGGCGGAGAGTACTGGTCACGTCATCATCTATTTGATGTCGTCGCTTCGCCAAAATTTTCGGTTATGGGGTGTCGCCGCATGGAATGCAACGCGCCGATACGACGCTACGCTGCGACCAGCTTACGTTGCGACTGTTCGATGAAGGGAATCGCTTCTGCGGCGAAGTATTGTCCGGCGCCGCGTGTGCCGCCGGTCCCCATCCCAGTGGGATCAGGAATGAGAAGTGCGAGGAGGAGAACTATAGTCGTGCCTCCAAATAGCCTTTTCGGGGACACTGCCGCGCCGTCGTTTCTCGCCATGTGGCTATGACTGACTATTCCTACTACTTTTGCAGGAGAATCAGTTGAGATGTTGCTGATTCAAATGGCTTTCGCTGCTTCTGGATGAGACACGGCGTCGATGCGACTTCAAATAGCTTGCTCAAGATTGTGAGTGACTGTTAGGGTTGGATGTGTTGCTGTGCTGGAACGATGAATACAAAGGGAAGGGTTCTTGGAACAGATGGATGAGAATGAATGGAAAAGGAAACCCCAATGTGAATATGAATGCGAACTAAGGCAGGAGATTTGGGGTTTTCGGTGCGGTGCGCTACGGTACAGCGCATACGTCTAAACCCCGGGGATTGCGCGCGAACGTGCTGCCGGAGCTGCCTTGCTGGACGCCATGACAGCATTCTCTCTCAACGAGTATTTGCCACGAAGGATTCAACGTTAGTCTTTGAAGCTTTCGTGATACGAAAACCGTCGATCTCCATCGAACTTGTTGCGGTGGGAGGAACCGTGCACGAGAAAGAAGCCCAAGTGGTTGGTTCTGCTGAGCTGGACGGCCGGGGTCACCGCTCGCCCGATCGTCAATGTCAATCTTAGTTTGGCGGTGTGCTGGCGGTAAGGTCACACTTCTTTCTTAGACCAATCGCAACGACCAAATTCTGACATTGAAAGACTTGTTACGGTACAACTCCCTCACGATCAGCATCTGTGCGAGGTTGTACTTCGGCAGGCAGACGTGCATCAGCAACAAATTTATAAGGTCGTGTAACGCCCTTGTAATGCGTATTTCTTTGGGACTGTTACAATAAATTCCTTTCATATGCGTCATTCTCTCAGATTGTTTCAACAGGTTCCTTCTTGCAACAGAATTGAGTGACTCTTAAATATAAAATTGATATAAAGTTCGACCATGCGATAAATTATGAATATACTACACTGATTTTCAACAGAAGTGGTCAGTGGTCACCTCTTTTGGAATTAAGTGTTCGTTTCGATATACCCTCCCCTTACACGATGAGTGTACAAGATATAAGGAGTCCCCTCATGTCGCATCAGCAGAAGTTCCCCACTCCCCATCGTTGTCTCGAATCCCACCTTCCGTCTCGTCCCGAAGTTCCGTCACGTCCCGTCATTCTGTTCCGTCACAGACCGTCAGGCACATCCTTCGCACCACACATCCACACCACACCACAACACACCTCAAAGTGACAAAATATACCATACCATACCTAACCACACCAAACCAAGGAACATCAGCTCAGAACCATATTGCCCTACGTAGTGCCCTCCATCCGCCACAGCCAAAAACATCACCCATCCAAGACTGGCTTCGCAGGATCCATTTCACGCACTCGTTCGCCCTGAATCTGCTTCGGCTGATCCACAGCTCTGCTTGTCGGAAAAACGAGGATCAGATTCTCACGAGACACAGCGTAGCGAGGCCTTCGCGTTTCATAGAACCACCACCTTCCAACGTCAGGTTCCTTGAAAGACTTTCGATTAGATTCGTTGAGGACAGAGCCAGTTGAATTTTGCTCCCTTGTTGGCATAATTCTGTAAGAACGGGTTTTCTTTCTTAGCAAGTAGTTACGTAGTGTGACCTATTCTAGGAGAGTTTCGATCCAAAGTTCCAATCCGACGGCTTGCAACTACGCATTCCAATCCAGCGGTCCGCAATGAAGCAAAAGCTTTCCGTGAAGCCGCATCCGCATCAACCACCAATCTCCGTCACCCTAACAGACGAGGCTGACGTGGCAAACGAGTGGGTCCAATCGTTCGCCGGGTGGGACGTGACGTCAGGCCACCAGCACCGGATCATGCTCGGGATGGACATCAAATGCCAACCAATCAGATCGCGAGGCCGGGAAGGCAGCGTGGCGCTAGTCCAGCTCAGCAACAGCTCCCACTGCCTGATCCTCCAAATGCTCTACATCGATCGAATGCCTGAAGAGGTCGCGGAGCTCCTCGAAAACCCCGACGTGCCGATCGGCGGGTGCGGGATCGAGGCCGCGGCGAAACTGCTCGAATCCGACTACGGGTTACCATGTAACGGGCTCGTGGAGCTGGGACAGCTCGCGGCGAAGATCTACCACAACAAGCGGTGGCGACAGGCGGATCTAGACGAAATGAATTACCAGCTAGTGGGGACGCCGGTGATGAAGCCAAGGCGAGTGGGACCGGCGGAGTGGTGGCGCCAGGGGCTCGGGTGGAATCAGATCCAGCTGGCGGTTCTCGACGCGTGGATGGCGTTTTCTGTCTTTTCTGAACTCGCGATCAAGGCGACCGGGAAAGCCGTTCGTCCGTCGAACGGTAGAGCGGGTGTGTGAGAGAGGAGAGGCGTGCGGATCAGTAGAGAGGCGCGGGGTTCAGGGGAGAGGCGCGGGGGATCAGGGGAGAGGAGACGGAGAGGCGACGTTGACGTTGCCGTTGACGCTGATGACGCTGTTGGCGCTGACGTGACGCTGACGTTGGCGCTGACGTGACGCTGACGTTGGCGCTGACGACGTTGGCGCTGAAGCAATGAGATGAGACGGGTACACGGGGTGAATCGAATCTTCACATATATTTACCTTCGTTTGTGCACGGATGAGTGCCGTCGCATTGCCTGACTATTGTCGGCAGCTCAGCCCGCTAGCGGCCAGCGTTGTTGTGGCAAGGGTGTGTGTGGATGTGTATGCATGTGCATGTGTATGTGCATGTGTATGTGCATGTGTATGTGCATGTGCATGTGCATGTGCATGTGCATGTGCATGTGCATGTGCATGTGCATGTGTGCTCGAGGTGTTGAGGTGTTGCTGTTGGTGCGCGTGATGATGGTGCAGACTATACGGTAAAAGTTTCGCACCAGGCAACAGGGTATTATCTAGGAACACGGTATGTACCATAATTGTGTAGTGTAGTGGCCACTTACAGCACACCTTGTGCTTGTGGGTGTGGGTGTGAAGTTGGCCTGCTGTCGTTCTTCTTGTGTGTTGCGGCGGCCTAGTTTTGCTTCTTGGCAAGTATTATCAGGCGAATGTCACCAGTACCTTTCTATCATGTCTGTAGCATAGCTAGTAATGCAGCATTCCCTAGACAGGGATTCTAGGACTAGGGGTTAGTGTAAAGGATGAACAAGACTGCCTTAGATACGTCTGTTGCGATCTGAAGTTGATCGTAACCAGGATCACCTCAGGAAGGTTCGCACACTTCTAATCTAGTGGTGGTGGGCCCTAGACCTCAATAGCAGAGTGAATGTAAATGCTTGAGATAATAAAAACATGCAGTACAAGGAATATAAATAAGAGTACAGGGGAATACGAAACGACCTAGCTAGCCATGTACTCTAAGGGGTACATTCCCTTATTACAGCGAAATCCAACCGTGCGACTCCGGGTGGTTACAGAACTGTTCGGGCAGAATCCTCGCCACTGTTGTTGCCTGATGCTGTCTGCTCGACGGTCCAGATGCTTCTCGTAACCGTCTGTCCCTTCGCATTACTTCTGCCTTTTCGTCTTCACTCTCGATACTGCGTGCTTCGGCTTTGCTACGGTGAGGAGTGATCAATGGTGTTTTCACTAACCACTATTCGTAACACCCCCCTTCACTCCTGGCCGTAGCGAGTGTTGACCCGCTTGACTACCCCGCTGAGTTCGGAGCAGTGCTGGTACTGCTGACGCGGCAGTTTCTTCGTGAGGAAGTCTGCTGCCATGTCACCCGTAGGGCAGTATGTCAGGTCAACCTTGCCTTTGTCAACTTCGTCTTTGACGAAGAAGTACCGCAGTGCGATGTGCTTGGTACGGTTGACGAAGCCAGGTTTGTTCGCGATCCTGATCGCGCTCTGGTTGTCGCAGTGCAGGCGAAAATTCGTTGAAGCCGGAATTTTTGCTTCCTGTAGCAGCTCCTGGAGGTAGAGACCTTTGCGAACAGCTGCTGTTGCTGCGATGAATTCAGCTTGGCAACCAACTCCTGCTTCTGAGAGTTCCAGGAGATGGGGCCGCTGGGCTCGAGGCGGAAGAGGAATCCTGTCCTGGACCGTCGATTGTCAGGATCAGCGGCGTGATCGGCATCCACGTAGCCGACAAGACCAAAGGATGTGGTTGGGACGGTGGAGTAGCTGAGCCCGACATTGGGCGTGGAGATGAAGAATTGAAGGGCTCGCTGAAGATCTGAGAGGTTCTCAGCCGTTGGTTTGCGTGAGTACTGAGCCAACTGGCTTGCGATGTAGGAGAGGTCGGGCCTGCAGGTGACTAATGCGAAGAGCAGGCACCCCAACTGCTGCTGGTAAGTGTGAAGCCCAGCAGGGGACAGGGCTTTGTCATCAGGCTTGTGGTTGGGTCCTGGAGTGCGGTAAGGGGTGGAGAGTGGTGCAGACGTAATGTTGAAACGCTTGCTAAGCTCCTCCGCATACTTCGCTGCTGAGAGATGAATGGCTTCCGGCACGTAAGTTATGTTGAGTCCGAGGAACTGCTTCACGTCGTGGTTGCAGGTGATGTCGACGCGCCCTGCGAGACTTTTCTCGAATTGCTCCAGCAGTTCGTTGCTTGAGCCTGTGTAAAGGAGGTCGTCGACGTAGACCGTGAGTAGGATGTATTCGCCGCGGAAATCGCGGCGATACATCCCAGGATCGTGAGGCAGCTGCTTGAATCCGATTTCAAGCAGATGTTGTGCAGGTACTGCTGCCAGAGCCTTGGTGCTTGTTTGATCCCGTAGAGGGACTTGCGCAGCTGACAAACGCGTGGATCCCCGTCGCCGTATGTGTGCGGCTGCTCCACGTAGATCACGGCGTCCACTAATGAGTACAGGAACGCATTCTTCACATCGATCTGCCGAAGTGGTAGGTGACGTGCGGCTGCGATGGCGAGCAGAATTCTGATGGACGTGTGACGGCTGACCGGTGCAAATGTCTGGTCGAAATCAATCCCGTGCCTCTGATCGTAGCCGCGCACCACCCAGCGCGCCTTAAATCGCTCGATCGTTCCGTCAGCTCTTGTCTTCACGCGGAAGACCCATTTGCCGGAGAGGATCCTTCTGCCCTTCACTGCTGCACG